TGCTGCAGCAGCCAATCTTTTTTTCAGTGTATAACAAAGAAAACGTTTGAAGAAGTAAAATACACACATATAGAAATTATATATCACCAATTTATATTTTTTATATGTGTGTATTTTACTTCTTCCAATATTTTTTATATTACATGACACGTAATATTATAAAAATTGTCCCGAATTTAGTGAATTATAGATCGTCTAAAGTAAGCTTTAGCGTAACAGAATCATTAGTTAAAATAAATTATTAATATGGCTCAATCAGAATAAATCAATAAATAAAAGTAGGGTTACGAGCCAGTTAACTGGCTCTACTTTTATTTATTTATTGCCCTACTTTTATTTATTGCATTAGTTAAGATTAATTCTTCGACATATTATTAATCAACTATTACTAGGAAAAAGATATAGATAAATTTTATATAGATAAATAAATATGATGCTTCTTTGTAATCATTATTGTTTGTTCCATTACACGTAAAGCCTATTATCTTCTACAGTGTGCTCTTTGTTTCCTGTTTCTTGCTGTTTGTCTCTTGCCTTTGGTCAAAAAGGCAAGAGACAAACAGCAAGAAACAGGAAACAAAGAACACATTGTAGAATGGCTATAAAAGATGTGAAGAAAGAACTGTTGCAAATTTATAGATAATCGAAAGAAGAACTTTGATTAAGATATGATTGTTTCTAGTAATATAAAAGAAGATGCCTCAAATAAAATTTATTTTTAAGATTAATTTATTAAAATCATTTGCGAGCAACATAAAATGAATAGTTATTAAACAATACCGAAGTCTGTATCGTTACACGTATTTGAAATTTATAAAATTATATGCTTCGATAATAACGTAACAATATAAATTATAAAACAAGTTATAATACATATGATCGTTTATATTTTACACGTGCCTTCATGCATACGTGCTTTATATCGAAATCAAATTACATGCAAAATTTCTTCCGACAATAAAATTTGCGAATAAGCATTCATACTGACCTACTTGAAAACTGCAGATAAGCTTTATTTCAAAAACCCTACATCGTCTGAGTTCCCGAACGCATTTGTTAATTTACGGGTGCGTCACGGTAGTAAACAGCAGATAGATATCGTGAAATAGAAGTTTTATAGGTGGCAACGTTACAGCCGCGTTGCAATGTAATCCAGCAGCGTTGGAACAAATGCTCGAATGAAATTGGTAGACGCCCTTATATGCCGCAATTCTGTCTCCGTAGGAGTCAAAGGTAGAAGTCAAAGGTTCAAATTCTCGTTCGAAGGAAAAAATGTTAATTATAGATGTGAATAGACGAGAAAGACAAGAACCAAGTAGAAACTACGTAACTCGAACAAAAGCTGCCTGAAATCTACGCATCCCCCTCGGACAGATATCGAATGGCATTAATGGCATCTTGGCGATAATGTAAGGGGATCTTACCTATTGTTGGAATATAGGGCCGCTATTATTTTCATAATTTCGTATATAAGGAATGGATGCTGGAGACAAATTCTCAGTATACGGTGATGGCTTGTGCGAGACGTGTCCTGGGAAGGATGAAACTCCTTATTCTCTGTGTAAGCATCAGACACATATTGAGATACAATTATTATGTAATTTATTATATTCTATGTACGTACGAAAAAATCAATTGTAATGTTACAAAAGTTCCATCATTAAAATTTGTTTGTATAGAAGAAAAATGATGTGTTGTCATTAAAAATTAAAATTAGATGTAAAATTTCGACAGAAGAATACTACATACGTGACAATATAAACAAATCATCAGTGCATATTGATTACTTCAATTATAACACGTTTAAATGACTGACCAAATCAGATAATGATCTACGGTTTGTCGGCGGAGAGCACAGAGGAAGTCTTGTCACTAGGCCGGTGGAAGGAGCAGATTATTGCGCCGGAGTTCCTATTGAACAGTCGCGAGGATATCTCCGAGAGCAGTCGGGACGCATTCCTCTTTGAGGACAAGCGTAACTTCCGTCCCGAGGGACTCGACGAGGTCAAACGAATCACCAACACCGAGAATGTCGGCATCAGTCTGCAGCCACGTCTTGTAACAAGAGTATGTTGCACAATTCCTAAGAATTTCTCTCTCGTAGACTTCTTTTGCAAACAAGTAACATTATTCAATGCTATATGTCATATGTTTTAGTCAAGTTTAGATTAAAAATTCATCGTATGTACGAGGAGGTTGAGTGCTTACTTCCATTGTGACACTTTACTCAATCGAAGCTGTTCGTTTAAATAATTTAGTAACAAAGAAAAGTGGAGTATTTAAAAATATTTTTTTTACTAGAAGCTGATTGATAAAAGTATAAATCTTTTTTAAAGATAAAAGTATTTATCTTTCATACAATATTATACTTCCGTATAACGAATGCTTTTATGAGGAAAGACTATTAAACGTGTATAATAATTATTTTCGTAATTATTTTCTAAATAAAACGCGCACTCGTGCTTCACCGATATTATAATGATAAAGGTCACACAGATTATTCAGAAATGACAGCTGCGAAGTGCGAATACGAATGATTTTTTTATTTTTATACTGGATAAAAAATTACATTTATTCCGATAACATTTGTTCCGATAACAGTATAACGTGCAATTAAATGCGTGGCAATCCGAATTTCATAAATAGTGATAAAACGTTTTTCTTTCTGCCACGTTATTTATTTATTTTGTTTCAGCTTTGTAAATCACTTTGCAACTGTGTAGCGACAAACAACTGTCAACTGAAAAACATAACATTTGATACACATATACGCACGCAAGCACGCACAATAAAATAAATGAAAAACGTGTAATGCATACAAAAATGTAATGTCAAGGCTTATTTTATGGAATGATACAATTTGATATAATAAGTTGATTCAAAATATCGGTGCTAAGTCGAAACTGATCTTCTAAATATGGTGATCTCAAAACGTAATACAAACTTGTGTCAATTACAAAGTTGCTTAGTGCAAAAATGTATCATCCAAAATTAAAATATATCTAAATATAGGTATCGATACACAAGAAATGGTACCTAGGTATAGGTATCAGGAAAAAAATATACCAGTGTACAATTCCTAGGTAAATTTGTATCTAGTTATAGTACTATCTAGGGGTACTTATACTGTACAATACTGCAGGATAACTGATACTTAATGTTGCCAACGTCATCCGCGAAATTCCAAATATTTTTTAACAATTCCGAAATAATTTATTAATTCGTGCTAGAAATTGTCGAAGTCAACGGAAGAATTTTTGAGTATCTTTTAGAAAAGCATTAACTTTCCGCGAACCGCGGGTGTGACATACCTCAGAATAGATGAACTTCTATAACTTTGTAAAAAGTATCGCGCTCAAGTTGCCGGTTTCGTGCAACTGAAGAATGCGTTGTTACCAACCATATTAAATTATAGTATATTTATGATGAAGTAGAGCATGGGATATGAGATTCTACAAATAATCCATGTTGATTTTCCATTTGTGGTTCGCGAAGGGTTAAATAGAATAACGAACATTAAATAAGCATTTACGACGATTCATGTTTTCTTACTTCAATACCTCGTAACTCCGAAACCGTTTAGAATCACAAACATATGTTTATTAAACATTTTCGACTTATTTCCATGTGCTGAAGCCACATTCTGTACAGAAATTTATTTTGTTGAAAATTTAAAAATAAACTCGTTACGAGAGCTATCAAACGAGCGATAAACACTACGTATAACATCGCTTCATGTATTTAATTAATTAAATTCATCACGAAGGACTGTTATCTTTTTTTTGTATGACATCCCATTATTTGCGTGTACGACTCAAAACACGATGTTTATAATAAATACATCAGAGCAGAAAATATAATTTAACTTGACAAATTAGTTTGACTTGATTTTTCAGTGTGTAAATTTCCGTAATATTAATTAACGTATGTACGTGATATCGTACGTGACGTATTATGAGACACTTGACACATAAACGTTTATTCGCAGTCTTTGCAATGCACCTGTGAAACGCAATACGAAATAAGGGATCTGGGCGATGGACATTATCCGAGATACCTGACAGCGTCGAGCTGCATGCCGAAAGCCTGCCTGAACAAGTTCAATTCCTGCCGACTGCTGCACTATATGGTAAGATAGCGTGATAATCGATAATTTATAGTATATACAAAGTGGTGGATTGCTCGCTCGCCCCCGAGTGAATGCGCCCAAGTGGTTGTCGAGTACTGTACAAGTATACATAACTTTAATTAGCGCCGACCGCGTAAACTCTCAGCTTATTGACCGGACGCCCCATTGCCATTCACATAAACATTGTTATTCACCGAAGTGGTAAGTCGCGCCGAGCGCCGCCTTAATTGCGATATCGAATAGATTCGCACGCTACAATTGTGCAATACGTGTTCGTTTAATTACGCTTTGTGTGTTCGATATGACACACTTTGATTATAGGGTGTTTCCAAATTAAATGGCAAAACTTCGGGAGCGTGTAGAGGAGTAAAAAACTAAGAAAAAAAGTCCTATAGACATATGCTCCTTTTTGCTTTGTTTCGCAGGAAATCACGAAAAAAGAAAAAAATATATTTAATTTATTATTTTAATTATTTTATTTATAAACTTTTTAATGAAGATTTTGTTCGAAATGTGCACCTCTTGCAGCAATACAAG